AGGACATTATCCATTATTTTTTACTGATATTTCCATTAACCCTAAAACACAATGCAATGCATTGCACAATTCAAAATACAGGTAAAACACCTGTAAAAATGCATATGGAAAATTCCTTAATATTAATACTGTAATGTAACTCAAAACCTGGACAAACCAAGTATATGGTCAAATTCAATCTCATTTCTCGTTGCTGAACTTTTTGACCACTGGTTGCGTAACATTTATTTATTTTTCATACTGATGATTCCACTTGGCCTTTTATTTAATTTACCAGCAAGACATACTTGCTCAGCTTCACTAGAAACACCATGCATCAATGAAATTACGATGGTTATTTGCATGGCTGTCCAGCATGGATATTCATGGTGCTCTTAGCTGGTCTAACAAACTATGTTCTCTTTCTATCCTTCTACTCTCTAATGTTTCAGCTCCAGCTCAAAATGAAAAGCGTAAAAAAGTAAGAGCTAGAAAAGGTTGCCTACGCTGCCCCCATTTCAGAAACGTCTTGACTATGCGCTTGTTAGTACAGTTTGAAGGCGGTTGGGAGGATATAGGACATATTTAGAGCAATTTCTCTGTGCGTGTGTGAAAGGAATAGAAAAGAGTTTTGTGGCACTTTGAAGCTTGATTTCACTTGAGCAGATTCTGACAAGTTTGACTCGACTTTGCTTTATATGAGTGCCAGATTTTAAGAAGGCTGCCACATACAATAACACCACAGACCTCCAGGAGTACACAGAGACTGTCACTGCCTACATCACCAAGTTTATTGAAGATATAACGGTCACAAAGACCATCACTGTCCGGGCCAACCAGAAGCCGTGGCTGACAGGGGAGGTCTAAAGACTCCTGAAGGCTCGGAGTGCAGCTTTCAGAGCTGGAGATGAGGTGGGCCTGAGGACAGCTAGTGCCAACCTATCCCGTGGCATCAGAGAGGCTAAGAGACAGTACTCCAGGAGGATAGCCCATCGTTTCAGTGACAGCAGAGACACTCGGAGCCTGTGGCAGAGGATACAGACCATTACGGACTACAAGCCCCCACCACGGACATGTGACAGCACCATCTCCCTGCTGAATGAGCTAAACACCTTCTTTGCTCACTCCCCCCCTCCCTGGACCCCTTCCAGTTTGCATATCGGTCCAACCGCTCGACCGATGACGCCATCTCCACTGCCCTCCACTCAACCCTCACACATCTGGACAAAAAACTTCCTGTTTTTCGTTGGACTTCCTGACTGGCAGACCCCAGGCAGTACAGGTCGGCAGTAACACATCCAGCACCATCACACTGAACAAACACAGGGGCCCCCCAAGGATGTGTGCTGAGCCCCCTCCTCTTCACTCTGCTGACCCACGACTGCACACCGTCACACAACTCCAACCTCTTCATTAAGTTTGCGGACGACACGACTGTGGGTTGGTCTCATTAGCAACAGGTATGAGACAAACTAGTGAAGTGAGCCGTCTGGCCGGGTGGTGCGGAGACAACAATCTCTCTCTCTGAATGTGGAGAAGACAAAGGAGATTGTTGTTGACTTCAGGAGAGTGCACACCCAGCATACTCCTCTGACCATCAACGGTGCGACTGTGGAGAGAGTGAGCAGCACCAAGTTCATGGGTGTGCACATCACAGAGGACCTCTCCTGGACTGACAACACTTCCTCCACAAACTGAGAAGAGCTTGAGCCCCGGCCCCCATCATGTGCATGTTCTACAGAGGCACCATCAAGAGCATCCTGACTAGCTGCATCACTGTGTGGTATGGCGCCTGCAAAGCGTCCTGCCGCAAGACCCTCCAACGCATAGTGAGAGCAGCTGAGAAGATCGTTGGTGTCTCTCTCTCCTCCCTCCAGGACATTTACGGAACCCGTCTCACTCGCAAAGCCCTCTGCATTGGGGGTGATCCCACCCACCTGACACAGCTTCTTCAGTTTGCTGCCATCAGGGAGGAGACTGCGGAGTCTCCAGGCCAGGACCAGCAGACTGAAGGACAGCTTCATCCATCAGGCTGTCAGATAGCTCAACTCTGTCCCGACTCTGACCCCTCCCCTCTTTTGCCCCATGCACTACTGAACTCTGACCCTCCGACACCCCATCTATCTGCCATGTGCCACTTTATATTTTTTTACAATGTCCTTATTTGTATAGTTTGTATTTTATATATATATTTAAATGGTATTTATCTGTATTTTTACATTCTACTGTTAGTGTTTAGTGTTAACTGTATGCACCAAGGGTCTGAGAGTTACGCAATTTCAATTCTCTTGTATGTATGTGGTGTACATGTGACAGAATTGACAACAAAGCAGACTTTGACTTTGAGATATTAGTGCTTTGAGGTAATAAAAACACTGGCAGTTTCTTGAAGAAAAATATGAAACTTTGCCATTTAACTCATTCCTCACTTTTTATGTTATAAATTTACCTCATTAATGGTATCTCAAATTGTGCCGCATATTATTTTTTATAATTTTCACCTGGCAGACCAGAAAGGACAGCTCAGGATTTCTTTGTAGCTAATTTCTTTCTGGTTGGGCGCATTTAGTGTGGTTGGTGGTCTCGTTGACTTGGTGACCGTCAGACCTTTGTCCAGAATCCTGCACGGGTGAGCGAAAGGTCAGGCAGGTCTGGTGCTGTTTTCACGTGTACCTTCTCTTGTCCCTAGTGTTCACAAGCGGCCATCTGTTTTTCAGCCCAGACCTCGGTCTCCAGGGTCAGGTCCAGTTACACAAGCCTGCGTGCATGAGTCTGAAACCAAGAGATCCGAGCTCACTGAATGAGAACAGATGAATCTTCTGTGGATTGTGGGCCAGGCTTTTTGAATCGGTTGCTCTTTTTGCTTGAATTCCAATGCATGTGAAATATAGTTTTGAAATCAATGACTGGAGTGCTTCAAATGTTTTTAAGATTAAAATAACATCCCAGATAGCCCTAGCACATTTCAACTCACTGTATGTCCCTTTGGATAAAAGAAAATGTAAATCCATTGCAATGCACTAAAACCACTGCACTTTATTGTTTTATTGCTTCAGGATAATCTGTCAGGTTGTTAAAAATTCTGTTGTTAGCTTAATTTATATATCTGGATTTTATGTTTACCTATGTCTGTTTAAATGTGTAGGTTCAATGTACCAATCATGCATGTCTGTCATCATCTGTTCAATGACAAACTGAATGAATTAAGTTTAAAGTATGTGGCAGCAAGCTTTGCACGGGTAAATAGTAATAATTTTCTTCATGTAAAATATACTTTGAAACCGTTTTTTTTTTTTTATTCTTGGGCCCAGTGTTACTGCTGTCACTAAGGTTTTTTTTTTTTATTCATAAAGAGAAAAATTAAGTTTAAAGTATGTGGCAGCAAGCTTTGCACGGGTAAATAGTAATAATTTTCTTCATGTAAAATATACTTTGAAACCGTTTTTTATTTTTTTTATTCTTGGGCCCAGTGTTACTGCTGTCACTAAGGTTTTTTTTTTTTATTCATAAAGAGAAAAAAATTTATACAGGTTTAGAACAACTTGAGGGTGAGTAAATGATGACAGATTTTTCATTTTTGGGTGACCTGTCCCTTTAACTGCTGGCTATTATAGACTAAATACCACAAAGCATACAGTGCACACATCAAATTCTACAACATACATACTGTACAGTAGCTTTACGCAATGCATGCTTGTTCAATACACTGCATACACACACACTTGAACCCAACCTGTCCACACACACACTGTCTGTCTCTCTCTCTCTACATCACACAATGGCACAAGGCCACATTCTTCCCTGCATTCTTAGTTTGTGTGGAAAACACTGTTGCCAGGCAACGACTAAAGCAGGATGAAGGTAGAGCTATATCTGTGCATATGTGGGTTTGTTCGCTTGCATGAGCAGGTATATGCTGGTGTATTGAACGCCATCACAGTCAGAGAAACAGAGGCATTAACCCCCGTGTTAAAGCAAGACTGTTTACACTATTGCATCTGATTCTGAACCCTTTTTTTACTTCCATTATGCAAAGTGAAACAGGTTATTCACAAAATCCATGCATTTTTAATGGAAAACTGCACCAGTAACTGTAAGAATTTAATTCCCTCACATGGTTCAATAATAACATGATTTGATGTAATATAGGAGATTCATTACTAATGGATTCAGTAAAAGTCACTTTTTTCAATGTACACTGATAATGTGCATAATGATGAATGAATAATTGAAATTTCAGATGTCTGTATGTAAATTACCTCTCTTTTGTTTGGCTAGCATTTCTGCATGTGAAATGAGTGACATCTGAATAGGCTGTTTTTAACTGCTTAAAGGGACAGTTCACCCAAAAATGACAATTCCGTCATCATTTACTGTACTAACCCTCAAGCTGTACTTACCCTCCAAACCTGTATGAGGTTCTTTCTTCTGTTGAACACAAAAGACGACATTTTGAAGAATGTTGGTAACCAAACCGTTGACGGTAGCCATTGACTTCCACAGTATTTTTCTTTCCATAATAGGGAAGTCAATGGCAACAGTCAACAGTTGGGTTCTTTAAGCCTTTAACACCTCTAATCATTAAGGCTGAAAAAGCACAACACAACTTTTAAAATCTGAACAGACTGCAGTAAAAATGTAAACAATATGTGTTCTAAAATTGGCTCAAAATATCAAACCTGTTTAATATCCTCTGACTGAATTGAATCGATGTCTGAAGCTTTAAAAACAAAACAAAAAAGGAGTTTGTGGCCATCATGCACTATGAAATCTGCACACTGGCTCTCACTTCAGACATCTATCGCCAGCTCTTCCAAACTGCAAAAATGGGTGAAAAAGTAATGTGGGATATTCCAGCCTTTAGTTTCTGTATGTTCTGGCTGAACACGGAAGTTTTGCATTGTGAGCATTAGCATATGTTAAAAGAATATAGAATATATTTCCATGATATAGATTCCTCTTATTCGCGTTGGGTTGTATTTACCATGTCCTTCACTCTGACTCACTCTTTCTCTCGTCAGCTCGTCCCTCGTTTACTATGTTGCTGCTCGGACTCTTGCCGCTGATGCTGCTACGGGGGTGCGGTTGCCAGGCGGCAGACGTTCCCGAGGATGTGACGGCAGAGTTCTCGGTCCGACTGTACCACCAGCTCCAGATCACGGGGGGAGAGGAGAACATCATCTTCTCGCCCCTGAGCGTGGCTCTGGCTCTGGGCATGGTGGAGCTGGGCGCCCGTGGTGCTTCTTTAGAGGAGATCAGACAGGCCGTGGGCTACAGTCATTTCAGAGAAGGTACGGTTATCTGTAAAACAGCATGAGGGGTTAACTGTTCTCTTTCATCTTTAAATTTTGAGTCTTTTTTCCAATTGGCCGAAACAGTGACCACACACTTTTTCCCATATATTTTCTCCATAAACATTTAAAAAAACAACCAGCTCCGAAAGAAATCATAACAGTACAACATTTGATTTAAAGTATGTTGTAGGTGTCATTCTAGAGAAATGAACAAAGAAAACTTAAATTAATACATGAACATTTTGCATAAAACAAAAATGAAGCCTATTTTTTAAAAATTAAGATTTTTTTAATATTCATGTAAAAATATTTTATTACAATTAAGCTCATTTTCCACACAAATTGTGTGATTCCCAATATTTTTTATAGTGATTCTATATCAGTTAAAGGCAGTACAATACATGGTTTATAGTAATACATTATATTTACATTGTACAAGTATTTATTTGCATTACATTAATGAGAAATTTGGCTGAAATGAAAATGAGGCTGGATGTTTACAAGCATTTTAAAACCTTGTTTTGAGGTTATATAGGCATGATCCAAACAGTCCAAATTGTAGTAAATGTAAAAACAGACTATATTTGGTATACAAATAGTTTAAAGTAATAATGAAAAAAAATTTAATAAATAAATATTTATTTGCATTACCAAAATTAGAAATTTCGAATTTTGAAAATGAGAAAATTTGGCTTGAATCTTTAGTCTGAAAATTGAAAATAATTTTTAAATCTTGAGTGTATATGTATATATATATATATATATATATATATATATAGAGGCCAGACTATATGTGTATACAAACTGTTTAAAGTAATATTTATTTAATTGAACTGAATTTTTTGCATTACAGTAATGAGGAATTTACTTTTTTCTTTTGACTTTGCAGTGAATTATGACCCAGACACATTCTTGACAGGTGTTGACAGTGAGATTCTGAGTTTTGAATGGGATTATTAGAGCCATGACTGTAATATTGCAGCACATTATACAGAAGTGTTGTCTTCTTGTCTGCACCTGCTTCAGATGAGGAGTTCTCTCTGTTGAGCAACCTGACCCAGGCCTTGTCCACGGATGAAGAGCAGTACGTGGTACGGCTGGCCAACTCCCTCTTTCTGCAGACGGGGGTTCACTTCAACGAGGACTTCCTGCAGCTCATGAAGAAGTACTTCAAAGCAGAGGTGGAGACGGTGGACTTCAGCCAATCAGCAGCTGTGGCTGAACGCATCAACTCTTGGGTGCTGAACCACACGGAGAGTAAGTCATCTATCATCACTGAGGAAAGAAAATATTCAAACTGGACGTGTGCTGTTATGTATTTGAAACAGTATCCTTGTTATTTACTAAGACGATAAAATAGCTTGACAAAAAAAGTTTTTATTCGTGTATTGACATCTCTCCTGTTGACATAGAAAGTTGGGATGTAGTGAAAAGTTTGTTCTTTTATAAGTACAAGTAGAGATGGCCTCAAAGCTAATAGGGAGTAGAAGTCAAAAAAATCTTATAGTTATACTGTATACTTTGAATATATACGTTTGGGGTCTGTAAGATTTGTAATTGTTTTTGAAAAAGTCTCTTGTGCTCACCAAGGCTGCATTTATTTGTTTAAAAGATACAATAAAATCTGAAATATTTGTAAGAATATTCACATTTAAAATACTGTTTGAACATGTTTTAAAATGAATTTTTTTTCTGTAATTCAAAGCTGAATTTTCAGCATCATTACTCCAGTCTTCAGTGTCACATGATCCTTCACAAATCATTCTAATATGCTGATTTATTCTTTTATATTTTATATTATATCTGCTTCATATTTTTGTGGAAACTACATTTTTCTTTGATGAATAGAAAGTTCAAAAGAGCAGCATGTATTTTAAATAGAAATATGTTATGTTATAAATGTATTTACTGTCACTTTTCAGCAATTTAATGCATCCCTGAAGGGTGCTGGATATATATATATATATATATATATATATATATAATGAGTCTTCGTGTTTACCTTTAAGATTATTTGCCAGTTAACCACTGAATATTGTCATAGTTTATAAACCCATTTAGAATGATTTTACTTTCAAGTAAAACTCTCTTCAAAATGAATAGATGGTGTTAAGAGGAATTACTCTGACTTTAGTGAAGGAGGACAGTAAAGTAGATAATGGCATGATAATGACATTCCCTAGCCATTTGATCCATTTTCTCACAGTCAGCTTTCGCCTTTGCAGGAGAACTGTCAGATAGCAGCACAAATCCCAGAGCTTTGGAAGAGAGATGATTGTATGCCACAGAAGAGATCATGCTGTCTTTCCTGTTCTGAGAAAGAGAGGATTGTGACGTGCAGCATTTATTTCAATCTGGGTTTTTGTTGTTGTTGCAGGCAAAATCCAGAACCTGGTGTCTGCGGACGACTTCAGCAGCTCCACCATGATCATGTTAGCGAATGCAGTGTACTTCAGAGGCAGCTGGAAGAACCAGTTCAGACCAGAAAACACCAGAACCTTCTCCTTCACCAAGGATGATGGCAGTGAAGTTCAGACCCTGATGATGTACCAGCAGGGAGATTTCTACTACGGTACAAACAGGCTTGAATAGGTTAAAGCAACACTCTACTATTTTTGAAAATAGGCTCATTTTCCAACTCCCCTAAGAGTTAAACCGTTGAGTTTTACCGTTTTCGTATACATTCAGCCAAGCTCCGGGTCTGGCGGTAGCACTTTTAGCTGTAGCTTAGCATAGATCATTGAATCTGATTAGACCGTTAGCATCTCGCTCAAAAATGACCAAAGAGTTTCTATATTTTTCCTATTTAAAACTTGACTCTTCTGTAGTTACAACGTGTACTAAGACCAGAAGAGTCAAGTTTTAAAAAAGGAAAAATATAGAAACTCTTTGGTCATTTTTGAATGAGATGCTAACGGATTCAGTGATCAATGACCCGGAGATCGGCAGAATGGATTCGAAAACTGTAAAACTCAACTGTTTAACTCTTAGGGGAGTTGGAAAATTATTTTCAAAAATAGTGTTCCTTTAAGACATAGATTCTGTAGTTTCTTGATTGTTTTGTTATTCGCTGTACAAGTTTCCTATAGAATGACTGCAGAGGTTTAAGCTGACAAGGAAAGCTAGTTAAGACAAAATTTGAAGGTTGACTTAAAATTCTGAAAGTTTAAAATTAATTTCAAAGGTTATTATATAGGCCTGATCAATGCTCCCTTTATCTATACAAATAATTATTTTAATATTTTATTCTATTCAACTATACACACACAACCATTTAAAAGTTTTGGGTCAGTAATTTTATTTTATTTTTTTTAAAGGAATTTGGCATGGATGCATTAAATTGATCAAAAGTAAGAGTAAAGACAATTATAATGTTTTAAAAATAAGTCAAATAAATGCTGTTCTTTTAAACTTTTTATTATCAAAGAAATCTATAAAAAAATCTCGGTTTCCACAAAAATATAAGGCAGCACAACTGTTTTTACTAATGATAGACTATCTGCAAAGTTGTGAAGCCGACAGTGCACGATAAATAAAGTTATTGTCAATCAAAAAAAAAAAAAAAGAGTCTGCTCGCAATCGCCTAAACGAGTCGTCAGGAATTCGAATCTTATTCTGTTACGGCTCTATGTCACGAAGTAACACATTTGCATAATGTCTGCCCACGTCCTACGTCGCCAACTTGCCCGCCCACAAACAGTAAAATTTCCTTGTCGAGAAGATGCTGTATCCTACGCTGTGAGAGTAAATTAGTTTTATCACATCTTATAATTACCACAAACTTGTTAACACTTGACACTTACCACTGAGAAACGTCCTGCTCCAGTCGTGCTTGCGACTCAGTCTCTTGTCGATCAGCCAGTTCTACCGTTTCAGACTCCGGCTCCAATTGATAAGGTTCAATCCACACCATCTTTTCTACGTATTGAAAAGTCTCCAGGGCTGTCATTCTGTCATGACAATCGGCGTTTCGTTTCCGGCACGCGCTGTACGCGGTAGACCAATCCAGAGCCAATCTCAGACCAATCACAAAGGACTGCGCCATCTGACCAATCACAGCAGAGAGGGCTCACGGAAAGGAGGGGTTTAGAGAGACTGAGTCGTTTACGAATCATTTAGAAATGAGGTCAAATTAAATCTGGGGCGTTACATTTCCGACACGTGCTTGTGGTGTTCGGCCAATCACAATGCACTGGGTCAGCTGGCCAATCAGAGCAGACTGCGCTTGTCAAAGGAGGGGGCTTTGTAGAAAACGAAGCGTTTGAGAGATGTGTTTTTTGAACATTAAAGCATGTCGACATATTCTGTTACACCAAATAATGATCTTTAAAATAGCATCATATGACCCCTTTAAATGTAAAACAAGTTGTTTTTTTTAATGTAATTTATTTCTGTGAAGCAAAGCTGATTTTTCAGCATCATCACTCCAGTCTTCAGTGTCACTGAAGAAATCATTCTAATATGCTGATTTGCTGCTCAAAACAAACTCTTATTATTACCAATGTTGAAAACAGTTGTGCTGCATAATATTTTTGTTGAAACCTTGATATATTTTTTCAGTTTCATTATAAATGTTGTTACTGTCACTTTTGATCAATTTAATGCTCCCTTGCTGAATAAAAGTAAATATAAATAAAAGTTAAATAACAAAAATAAAGCAATTTATTTGGAGAAAAAAAATCGTACCGACCTCAAATAATTAAAAATATGTTTTACACCAAACATATTTTAGTAATGTGTATTATCTTGATATTTGTTTCGTTGAATGTATCTGATTTGATGTTAAATAATTGTTGTTATTTTGTTTTCTCATAGGATCCATCCTCTTCATGGGCAGAGTTATGAATCCTGAAGTCATCGAGCCCTTCGACAACAACTTTGACATGTAAACGCCTAGCAATCGCAATGTGACACTCAAACGAATTAACGCTTATTTTCAACATCATCACGGAAAGCAAGCTCATTACGTCGCCATGGTTTTCTAAACACACGAGAAAATATTATATAAACGGGATATTTATATGATAAAAGTGATTGTGTTTTGATACTCGTAAGCTTTAACCACACCAGGGAGTACAGAGCTGTAAATATTTGAAGTCTCTGCAACCACTCCATTCACGTCTTATTCCACACCAGCATCATTCGTTCCTATATTTCTTCTCTTGTATATTTGCTATTGTGTTCTGTAGAAAAACCGTTGATATTTATTGCAAGAATGTGAGCACTTCTCTATATGTAGACTCACTTAATGTCTTTTAATTTCTTTTCTCTCTGTTTTGGGTTTTGAACATGGCTGAAGTACTGCTGATATACTAATATGCCTTATTATATAAATATGAGTTTTGGATTTAATGAAAGGTTGCGAATGTACAGGTAGTGGAGCGCTGTTGCCATGGAGACTCAGACGAACCGGGGGAGAGTGCATTTGGTATAAGTGATGGAAAAAAATACCAGCTGTATTCTCGATTTCAGAATTAAAGATGAATGTCTTCAACTTGTCACCTTGTGCTCAATTATAGAGTTGATGCAAAATATATACAGAAAAAGCCTCTATGCTGTTTACACACTGTCAGCACACAGTTTTGATGTCCAAAATAACCTCTATTGAAAACTATAACTATTCACCTCAAAGACAGACAATAATTTATTAATGTACTGCTGATAAATGCACTTTATCATAACAGTTTTTTTATTATTATTATTGTTAAAGGAAGTTGTAGGGAAAATACACATTAAATCAGGTTGGTAATATTCATAACATGTCTGGTGTGCTATTTTGCATGGTAAATGTCAGTCAGATTATATTTGTCCTTTGCCAAACATGAGAAGACGCTCAACGCAGTGTTCAAACAGAGCAAAGTGCCTATGATAAGACCAACTGTGTTTCATCTCTACTAAAACTAGTTGATGTTTTATCAAAATGAGAGATGCTTGCAGTGAAATACTTACATAATAACTAATAAGTGTGCTGCTGCAGAAGATAAGACTCGAACCATGATGAAGACCGTCTGTTCTTGTGAAGTCCAAGCACAGTCTGCTGATTGATGACCACTGCCATGACCCGCCTGATTGAAGCTGGACTTCTGTTTGGTTCATTTCTGAAACACAACATTGATCTTAACTTGTGGAGAGGAATACAGTAAGCTTAGGCAAATAAATGAATAAAAAAATATTCTTTTGTGAATATGCTCCTTACGTAACTGCAGCTAATTTTGTTTTTCTAGCTAAATGGTGAAGTCCAAGCACAGTCTGCTGATTGATGACCACTGCCATGACCTGTCTGATTGAAGCTGGACTTCTGTTTGGTTCATTTCTGAAACACAACATTGATCTTAACTTGTGGAGAGGAATACAGTAAGCTTAGGCAAATAAATGAATAAAAAAATATTCTTTTGTGAATATGCTCCTTACGTAACTGCAGCTAATTTTATTTTTCTAGCAAAATCTAACCAGTAAAACAAAAATGCAATTACTTAATTATATAAAATTGCAAACATTTTAATCTGACAAGCCCCAATAGGCGACTAAACCACTGCCTGAGAAAACAGTTGTTTGTGTAACTGAGTCAAAACTTTGTACTATACTTTTATACTTGATATAATTTATGTAAGTTACTATCTATTTATTACGGTGACCGAGAAGTGCAAAGCAAATCACAATTCTGAAAACAAAATAACAAATTACAAACGCAAATGCAAGTCTAAAAAACAAAAGAACAATTCAGAAAGCACAACAACAATTCAGAAAACATTATAACAAGTCAGAAAACACAATGACAAATCCGAAAACAAATTAACAAGTCAGAAAACACAACGACAAATCAGACAAACCGGAAGAGGAAGGTATAGTTTGAGACAGCGCCATTGGTTTGGGATTACTCACCGCTGACTGGACGAGACATCTGTCAATCAACGCATACAGGGAAGAACCAGCCGAAGAACAGCAGAGTCCTGGTAGAAAGTTCGGAGATGGTATTAAAGTAGCTCAGTTTAAATGTATTGTATGAATTGCCCTTACTATGGAATAAAAAATACAGTGTCTATTTACATTTAGTTAAAAGTGACTGTAAAACATTAGCTCCAGTGGCGCAGATGGATAAGTGCGTATCATAGGCTTTTTGACGCGATCGAGCCGGGTTCGAACCCGCCTTTTGCCCTGTGTTTTCTGAATTGTTATTTTGTTTTTTAGACTTGCATTTGCGTTTGTAATTTGCTATTTTGTTTTCAGAATTGTGATTTGTTTTGCACTTCTAGACCACCGTAATTTATATCATATTCTAACGTTACCAGAATATCACTTGAGCAAGAGTGCCTAAAATCAGCAGCCTCGTGCCGAAAGTCACCATACCGATTGTTTCTGTGATAGTTTTTTTTTTAAACAACAGTTCAATAGACAAAAACAACAGTTACTTACACTTTAAATACAATATTACCCCCTTCTTTCGGGTATTTTTGTCCTGCCGACGGAAAACCTTCCAATGCAGATTCAGCCGTTGCGTATCTCTGAACAACTCACAGCAGAGAATGAATCAGTGTGTTGGAATGAATCGTTTGAATAAATGATTCAATGACTCGCTCACTCACTTGTATTGTTTCTCGATGAATCAGTGTTGTAAACGAATCGGTTTAATGATTTATTAAATGATTCACTCAAAAAGGTGGTCACTTGTCGCCATCGATGTAATTTGTAAAAAGAGTCGATGGATATTTATTTATTTATTTATTTGGTGTGACTAATTGTAATAGCATATCCTATATAAATTCAAGTTTTGAGTTTTGCTTTAACTGAAAGAGATATACATTCTTATTTATTATCCATTCATTCATTCATTTATTTCAGTTCATTTAAATGGTCCTGTGGTGTGACATTCCTTTTCAAAAGTACAAAATGGTCTATCTCACAAAGCCTGCATGTACAATAACTATATGCTAAATATTTACAGCATAAAAGGGGTACAGCTATATATTGACATTTCACAGCTATACTGCATTTTCCAAAAGTCACTGAAGTGCAACCTTAGACACGCCGATGCCCTGACTGACCTCCGTGCGCATGCGCAGAGCTCACTCTCACCTGTCGCACTTTAGCACACATTCATCCAGCATCAATGGGAAAGCGCACTATATTCCTTTTAAGTAACTCGCTTCACTGCGTGTCAAATGCCAAAGGGATCTGTCAGAAACAACGGACATGTCCGAAAGGTAGGAACAGTTTTGAAAAACATCTAATATGGAGCACATTTGCAGTTTTATTTCTGAACACTGCCTGGAACCGAAAATAAACGCGTACTCATATGGCTTTTAATTTAGATGTCTCTGCTTTAATCGTCTTTAGAAGACTGCTGTTATACTTTTCTGCATAATTTATGGGAATTACCACTGGAACATGAAGATCGACCCTAATTTATTAATGGGTTAAAAATAAATTATTACGATATTGCCACAGTTATAAAGACATATTATAAACGATTGCCGTGTTACAGCTGTTATATGTTATTGTAAACACTTTGTAAAATAATGTACATTTACATGACATACTACATAATCAATAGCCATTAACAGCGTTAAGATGTGAGCTGAAATTCTCAAATGTTCTGATATATTGTGCTCGGGTGTCGTGGGTGACTTTAATCCGGATCAGGGTGCAGAGTTCACGGTAATCTACACCAGAACCTCAGCCCAGCGGATGTAAGGACGCGCAGGCTCTCGTTACACACAGGCTGCGTCTCAAAACCTGCTGAGCGCCCTACATAGGCAGCACACTGTTTGCGTGCAACATTTTTGAGCGTCATATGATTAACATCTTGCATTTTATAAACATTTTTCATGTAATATGTTACACTCTGCCTTCTAGATAGTCAGCTCACTAGGTTTTGAGATACAAACAAGGACTTGTCTCTATTTGTGCACATTTTTGGTATTTAAATATTTGTATTTGGTTACACTCCATTATAAATGAACATTCACTAATAGCTAGAAATATATTGAAACTGTGATTAAAATACTTCAGATTTCAGCCTGTGATCTCCGTTAAGCATTAGGCCTCTGTAATGTTTGTTAATGGCTCTCGCTCTAGTTCCTCTGGAGTGAACACCAGCAGTGAAAGTTTTCCCAAGTCTCACTCGCACTACTCTGAGTTAAGCGACACACACACTCCTTTCTCTGTGGAACTGACTCCAGACTCTGGCATTGTTGCCACTCCAGTAAGTCAATTCAAAGTCATTCATGAAGTGTCATGTGTGGTTTGATTGACAGCTCACGTGTCTAAATGAACACTGAATGCTGTCATTGTGTTTGTTCCATGCAGTTGCCATCCAGTCGGTTCAGGTTTGCCTCGTGGTACTGGCTAGAGGAGCATGATGTGCGTGGAGACCAGCTCGCCTGCCCCAGGGTCAGAGAGGGTAAGAGGTCATTCGGGGTCACCCTTCTTTTATATATTTTTTCAGTGTTACCATAATACAATCACAGAACACACATCAATCGTCAAACAGGGCCTGATGAAGACGAGCTATCCGTTAACAGTGAAGACATATTTCTCAGAGGAGGCAGGAGGAAGAGGAGGGAGGATGAAGGACAGAAATGGGAGGAGAGACTCCAGGAGAACTGGGAGAACTGTGTGGTGAGACACCAAGCTATCTATCCATCCATCCATCATCTATCTATCTATCTACATATCTATCCATCCATCCATCATCCATCCATCCATCATCCATCCATCCATCCATCCATCCATCTATCCATCCATCCATCTCTCCATCTATCTATCCATCCATCCATCCATCCATTCATTCATCATCTATCCATCCATCTATCTATCCATTCATCATCTATCCATCCATCTCTCCATCTATCCATCCATCCATCTATCCATCCATCTATCTATCCATTCATCATCTATCCATCTATCCATCCATCTCTCCATCTATCCATCTATCCATCCATCCATCTCTCCATCTATCTATCCATCCATCCATCCATCCATCATCTATCCATTCATCATCTATCCATCTATCCATCCATCCATCTCTCCATCCATCCATCCATCCATCATCTATCCATCCATCCATCTATATATCCATCCATCCATCTCTCCATCTATCTATCCATCCATCCATCCATCTCCCCATCCATCCATCCATCCATCCATTCATCTTTCCATCTATCTATCTATCTATCTTTTAAAGTAATTAATACTTTTATTCAGCAAGGATCAAACTGATCAAGTGTGACAGTAAAGGCATTTAAAATTGTACAAAAGAGTTCTATTATAAATAAATAATGCTGTTCTTTTTATTAATCAATCCATCCATCCATCCATCATCTATCCATCCATCCATCTCTCCATCTATCCATCCATCCATCTCTCCATCTATCCATCCATCCATCTCTCCATCTATCCATCCATCCATCTCTCCATCTATCCATCCATCCATCTCTCCATCTATCCATCCATCCATCTCTCCATCTATCCATCCATCCATCTCTCCATCTATCCATCCATCCATCTCTCCATCTATCCATCCATCCATCTCTCCATCTATCTATCCATCCATCCATCCATCCATTCATCATCTATCCATTCATCATCTATCCATCTATCCATCCATCCATCTCTCCATCCATCCATCCATCATCTATCCATCCATCCATCTCTCCATCTATCCATCTATCCATCCATCCATCTCTCCATCTATCCATCCATCCATCTCTCCATCTATCCATCTATCCATCCATCCATCTCTCCATCCATCCATCCATCCAATCATCTATCTATCCATCCATCTATCTATCCATCCATCCATCCATCCATTCATCTATCTATCCATCCATCTATCTATCCATCCATCCATCCATCCATTCATCTATCTATCCATCCATCTATCTATCCATTCATCATCTATCCATCTATCCATCTATCTATCCATCCATCCATCCATCTCCCCATCCATCCATCCATCCATCCATTCATCTTTCCATCTATCTATCTATCTATCTTTTAAAGTAATTAATACTTTTATTCAGCAAGGATCAAACTGATCAAGTGTGACAGTAAAGGCATTTAAAATTGTACAAAAGAGTTCTATTATAAATAAATAATGCTGTTCTTTTTATTAATCAAAAATCCTAAATGAATGTCATGTATTTTCCACAAAGACATGAAGCAGTACAACAATTTTCAACATTGATAGTAATCAGAAATGTTTATTGACTCCATCCATCCATCCATCCATCATCTATCCATCCATCCATCTATATATCCATCCATCCATCTCTCCATCTATCTATCCATCCATCCATCCATCTCCCCATCCATCCATCCATCCATCCATTCATCTTTCCATCTATCTATCTATCTATCTATCTTTTAAAGTAATTAATACTTTTATTCAGCAAGGATCAAACTGATCAAGTGTGACAGTAAAGGCATTTAAAATCGTACAAAAGAGTTCTATTATAAATAAATAATGCTGTTCTTTTTATTAATCAAAAATCCTAAATGAATGTCATGTATTTTCCACAAAGACATGAAGCAGTACAACAATTTTCAACATTGATAGTAATCAGAAATGTTTATTGAGCAGGAAATCAGCATATTAGAATGATTTCTGAAGGATCATGTGACTCTGAAGACTTGAGTAATGATGCTGAAAATACTGCTGAAAATATACTCATTTAAATATATTCATATCTTCAAAAACAGTTATTTTAAATTGTAATAATATTTCACAATATTCCTGTTTTTACTGTATTCTTTAACAAATAAATGAAGACTTGGTGAGCATAAAAGCCTTTCAAAAACACAAAAAAATCGTACAGATCTCGATATCGGTCTAGCGACCAGCTGGTTATCTTCGTATTGCGTTTACGGTTCTGTCTCTGTGACCCCAGGTGCTGAACTTGTCTTATCAGGACTTAGGAGATCCGTACCAGCTGGAGAACTTCATCCACATCCTGAGGAGACTGATCCGGGTGGAGCGTCTGCAGCTGGTGGATAACGCACTGAGAGATCTCAGTTCTGTCAGACTGCCAAGGTACCAAACTAACCTCTACACTATAACAACTGAAAGATGTTCTCATTTGAGTGCACATGAACATCATTCTGAATGCTGCTGACACTGTAAATGAGTTTAGATGGAGATCTGGTTTGTGGTATGTGGACCATATAACACAAACTCCCTCTCGATCTTTCCCTGGAGTGCTGTCCTATAATATTGCATTGGTTGTTTTGTAACAGTATGTGTATGGCTGTGTAAAAAAACCTCTAGTGCAACTTTAGCTGCGTGCTGTAATCTCATATGACAAGTTTATTTTACAGTAAGAAGGAAGCTGTTCATTATGTATTAGCATCAAACTCAGCGTTAAAAACAGCCTTAATCACATTATTTTATTTGAATATGGGTCTTACTGATAGATGGTTAAATTTGCATTGCATTTGTAATTCTGTGAGGTTTTATGGGGGGAAAAATGTCAATTTTTAAATGTATTTATTTAATTGTCCTTCAGATATTCAGGACTCATGTTGTGCTTTTTTCTTGCGAAAACTAAATATGAAAAAAATATTTTTCTTAGTAAATTACAGTGGCTGTTTGGACACTAGATAATTAGACATTAATCCTGCTTGCTTTACTGTTTTGTCATCTAGTGCAATGACAATAATACAATTTCAGATGAGTTCAGTGTATATGAGGTAGAACATAATTTGTGACATGTTACAATCACTAGCAAAACTTGATTGAGAATGTGCGTTTGTTATAGATGTAAAATCCTGAATCTTCACCGGAACAACTTGACATCCATTCGTCAGCTGCCAAAGGTTCCTGAGATCCATCACTTGTGCCTGTCTGAAAACAGTATTTCGTCTCTGGGCGAACTGTCCCTGCTGAGGAGCACGCCGCTCCGATCTCTGACCCTCAAACGCAACCCCTGCCAGTTTCTGGAGGACTACCGCTCCCGGTGAGAGGAATACAGAGCTAAATGAGGTTTCTTCAAGTTATACCTTTGTTAAAAAGAAGTATGTGTCAGCATGCTTTTAAAAAGAGTACTTATTACAGAAATATTATTTTTTTTAAATAACAAACTTAAGAGTGAACTGAATGTAATGCTTTCAGACACTTGATTGCATGTTATTAGCAATTAAAATAAAATGTATAATAATTAAGAGTGTTTTTGACCCAAATTAAGTAGGACCTTAAGTACATCTTTCTATGTAATTTCTTCTGTTGTGTTGTGCTGTTCCAAACCTGTATGAATTTTCTTCTGTTGAACACAAAATAAGATATTTAGAAAAATGTTGGTAACCAAAGAGCTGCTGGTAGCCATTGACTTCCATAGTATTTTGTTCCATACTATGGAAGTCAATGGCTATCGACAATATCGGAATATCTTTTATGTTTCACACAGTAACGTAACTCGTACAGGTTTGACGGTGAGTGCATGAGGACAGAATTTTCATTTTTGGTTGAACTATGTTTTTATGTTTGTAAAGAAACATAGCCATGGAAGTCTTCTTTAAGTACACTTAAGTTGCCTTTTATTTAATTAATATTATATTATCTGCAAGTAGATTTTTTTAAATAAACTTTTAAGATTTGAAGTGCGCTACATGTGCACATTCAATGCAGTTGAATGCACTTTTTTCACAAGAGTATATAGAAGAATACCACTGAGCTTTTAATAACTTGCTGTCAAAAAGCAGACTGATTAAAACTAATCAGCTAATTACAGCTTTTAATTAATCTAAAAAGCCATGCAGCGTCTGTCTCCAAAATCACATTATGTCCCAAGTTAATAGCTATGGCAGAAGATAATATCATCATTTACTAAAAAAGAGCTGACCAAAAATGTAATAGATCTTTCCAAGGGTTCAAAGAGAGCCAAGAGAATAATTTCTAAGTCTGTCTAATCTAACCTTGAGATTCGTTTCCTCTGCAGTGTGTTCTCTTGTTTGCCAAAACTCCAAGTTCTGGATGGCATTCCAAAGCTACTGGAAGATTCCGTGCCTCCCTCTTCACCGGCAGCGTCCAGATTTTGTACCATTCTCTGATGTTGAAACAGCTGAACCTGAAGCCAAGATCTAGTGTACTGTACTGTCAGAGTGAACCGAAAGCTCCATAAATGCACTTGTATAATAGTTGTGTATATACTCATTTGAGCTGTTAAAAATATATTTATATGACTTATTAAAGCTATTTTTGTACCTTTACTTCGCATTTCATGTACTCAAATAAACCTGCATTGACTTCAGACAGCAGCAGCCAAGATATAAATGAGAAAAGACTATTTATCTAACATTTTAACAGCTACTCACAGAATGGATCATAGGCATCTGTTCAGGTCACAGTATGTCTGCTGCATGTAATTCAGGCTATTTGGTTGCTCAATGACCAGCCAACCCTTTGTTCGGTTCACACTGTGTCCCGAGGACTGTTTTGACAGACAAGTCTGTTCTTGGGTGGTATCGCCTGATGCCCGGCTGACAGTGTGTGAAGAAGAAGCACAGAGATTAAATCAGATACAGTCATGTGACACTGTTAGTAGCAGATAACTGATGATGTCACAGCACACACGTGTTGGCTAAGCGTTTCATGTTCTCATGGACTGAACCATAGGAACAATATCTTAGATTGAAATTAAAACTGTAACAGTGGTTGGGTAGGAAAAATTTGGCCTTATTTTGTACATCATGGTGGGACATTCTAAAACGCTTAAGTGTGTTTTTAAAAGGCCAAACTCAGTAAACACATTATGAATAAAACATACTATGTACAGACAAGCAGATGAGCCCAGAATGCGAAGGCAATGTGTGTAATTACACATTAAGGAAAATGCTTAACATGGCTTAATGATTTATTAATTATGATTTATTAATAATGTTTAAGTTTGGTATTTTTAAAAACACTGTTTTAATGCTATAAGCCACATTAAGCGTTTTCCTTATTACTGTTTTCTATGGGAGGAAAACGCTTAATGCGTAATTAAACACGTTGCATTCGTATTATGGGCTCATATCTGCCTGTCTGTACATAGTATGATTTATTAATAATGTTTATTGAGTTTGGCATTTTAATGCATTAAGCCATGTTAAGCTTTTTCCTTATGGGCATGGGCACCGTAAGGGGGGAGGAAGTTAGGACGATTCTAAGGGCCCAGCATTAGAGGGGAACCCCCCCCCCTCCCCCAGACCATGATTTTTACCGAGGGGGACACGAGTTCAGGGGGCCCACAAACAATAGCGCCCCTGCTAATGGGAGAAAAACGCTTGCGCATAACTAAACGCATTGCGTTCATTCTGAACTCATCTGCTTGTCTGTACATAGTATGCTTTATTAATAATGTGTTTACTGAGTTTGGTCATTTAAAAACACTGTTTTAATGCATTAAGCCACATTAAGCGTTTTTCTTATAACGGTTTTCGGCTTTGTTAACGGCTTTATTAAAGGGGTCATATGATGCTGCTAAAAAGATAATTATTTTGTGTATTTGATGTAATGAAATGTATTTATCGCTCATCTGCATGCTCGTCGTCCTCATCAGGGTCTCGACCTGACTGATGGCATTTTGAATGCACAGAGTGACGAGATCCTGAGGCCCATTGTTGTGCCATTCATCCACGACCATCACCTCATGTTGCAGCATGATAATGCACGGCCCCATGTTGCAAGGATCTGTACACAATTCCTGGAAGCTGAAAACATCCCAGTTCTTGCAAGGCCAGCATACTCACCGGACATGTCACCCATTGAGCATGTTTGGGATGCTCTGGATCGACGTATACGACAGCGTGTTCCAGTTCCTGCCAATATCCAGCAACTTCGCACAGCCATTGAAGAAGAGTGCGAAGGAGATGTGTTGCACTGCGTGAGGCAAATGGTGGTCACACCAGATACTGACTGGTTTTCGGACCCCCCAATACAGTAAAACTGCACATTTTAGAGTGGCCTTTTATTGTGGCCAGCCTAAGGCACACCTGTGCAATAATCATGCCGTCTAATCAGCATCTTGATATGCCACACCTGTGAGGTGGATGGATTATCTCGGCAAAGGAGAAGTGCTCACTAACACAGATTTAGACAGATTTGTGAACAATATTTGAGAGAAATAGACCTTTTGTGTACATAGAAAAAGTCTTAGATCTTCAGCTCATGAAAAATGGGGGCAAAAACAAAAGTGTTGCGTTTATAATTTTGTTCAGTGTATATACACACAAAATCAATAACAGCAGAGGATAAAGAGAGGCAGCGGTACACAAAATACAACATACAACCCATTTTTATACTTTTTATGAAGACTGGGAGGCAGAAAACAGTTTTTGGGATGGCCTGTTTATCTTGTTGGACTATTTCATCTAAAGCTCTCATTCTTCTGACTGAACTGCAGAGCTGCAGCCTGAATCTACACGGTACCTCTGTGTCACTTACTGCAGCTTCTCATCAGCCTTCCAGAAACTGCAGGATGAAAGCAGTGTTATTTTGCTTTGGGTTCATTTTTACATTTACATCAGACGAAGAGATTTTTCCTCTGCTCAAGGTCACCAAACATCAAAACATCAGTGTGCCCGCCAGACTTTATGCATGATTAAAAGAGGATGAGCATTAAATCCTTCACCAATTTTTATTCCGCTCACACGGCCATTATCAACAAAACGGCACAAAAATATTTCTCACAAGTTATATTTGACTTCCTTTTACAAAACTTGGGAGAAAAAAATCTATAGACATACAGATATTTATTTTAAATATAAAATAAAAGCTTGTTTATTATCAATATTACATCAGCTAATATATCGAAAAATCCTATGCGTCCCGGAAAATAAAAAAAGTGACAAAAGATTATTTCATTTTTTATAATGCATTAAAAAAAAGTAAATACAAGACAAAATAAATAAAAATTTTCAATATTGTAGTGATTAGCATACATTCAGAACAAACCATTTTGAGTAAGCTAATCCAGCAATTTTGTTTACTCCTCACATATTAAAAATGTACATCTGAATATTGTTTCCTTAATTCTCATTTCAATGTGGCATTAATTTATCTGCTGTCTGATGTCATGTTAAAGTCTAACAGTGACAATAAGACTTAGAGGACCAGGTCCAGTAGCACTAGTACCAGTTTATACTAGAATAGTAGTTGACAGATCAAAAACAAACAAATTTTTTTTTTATAAAAATCTGTTTCCATAGAGACATTCGACAAAGATTTCAGGAACTGATTCATCCTGGCAAGATAGGCAGCATTTTTTTCTTATAAACTCTACGAGGCACTTGGTGAAAAGCAGATGAATATCAGTATCTAACGGAATGATTTTGGTTCACATCTAGGCAGCATATAATTCAACTATGGTAAATAAACACATACAGTAACTTTTAAAAACTTGAGCTTTCGACAGCTAGTTATCTGCTTGAATTACATGTAAACATTCATGTAGTGACATCTATTGACCCAAGCATCTTGCCAAACCCATCCTGAATTATTCATCAACGAGATGGATGAATTAACACCATAAATTTGGGGCGGGGCCAGGTGAGGATTCAATGCTGATTGGTGACTGCTGCCTGTCCATCAAAATCAGTCTTACCTATTAAAATAAGGCTGTTTCACTTCAAAGATGGAATATATCTTGCATGTGGAGCACAAGTAACCAAAAAATGGCACTTGGCAAAACTTTCAGTGCAAGAGTTTCTGGAGGTTAAAATCTGTGCTTTCAGATTCATCATCCAGTCGAAGAAATCAAACGCAAGATATAAGAGCATTTAAATGGAACTTATTCACAAGAAACGATAGACAGACGTACAGTAAAGGCAGACAGCAGGGCGTTTGGTCTGTAAGTGGTTGGGCGTTTTGGTGCATCTCGGTTTCAGAGTCACACAGACCGGAAGTGAAACCGGTTTACTATTCATCAGGACCCAACAGAGCCGTTTCTGGCACAATGTTTAAGAATATTGGGTGGGAAACCCAATCCAAACAGCTGGCAGCGATTGGCTGTCCTTCTTTTCAATCACCTCACATTTCTGCCCTGCGATTAGGCGGTTTATCACCGTTGCCTCCTTCTTCCTCCTCATCTTCTTCGTAGTTCTCCTCATTGGGATGCTGGGCGGGCTGATTATCCTTCTTCACCGCTACATCCTGATCTCTGGCCTCATCCTGGACAGACACACAGAAAGAAACAGAAAATATTCAAATATGGTTGCTTGCTACTAACCACTTCAAATTTCTGTTTAACTGAAAAAAATAAAGTGACGGGTTTGGACCAACATGAGGGTGAGTACATATTTTATGACACATTTTAAATATTGGGTGACCTTTCTGTTTAAAAGTGCACAGATGTAAATAAACATTCCCTGAATCTAAGAGATGAGGTGAAAATGGAGGATGGACTCATGGCAGTAACTGGACACCGTTGAGGACGCTGCAATCGATCTGACTCACCCAACTGTGGTGCTGCCAGCAGTCTACAGTTACAGCGGCAGCTTGTACAAAAGAATAAGTGAAAACGTACACACGTAAGCACTACATAACTATCTGTGATACATTGCAGTGACAGAGACCATAAAGGGTTTGAACAGTCTTAGAACAAACAGCTTAACTTTTTTGACAAGAAACAAAATTACTGCTAATTTTTGATACTCTACAATAAGTTGGTAATTTATGTCATTAACCATTATATGCATGTGATTATATACAATCCTTGATAGTTATGTATTGGATGTATTTAAATAAACATATACCACCACTTAAAATTTTGAGGTTGGTAAGATTTTTTTTATGTTTTTGAATGAAGTCTCTTATGCTCATCAAGGCTGCATTTATTTGCTCAAATACAGTAGAAGTGGTAATACTGTGAATTATTATAATTTAAAAACTGTCTTCTATTTTAATATAATTGCATACACTGGAATTTATTCCTGTGACGCGCAGCTGAATTTTCAGCATCATTCCTCCAGTCATCAGTGTCAGGTGATCCTTCAGAAATCATTCAAATATGCTGATTTGCTGCTCAAGAAATATTTATTATTATTATCAATGTTGAAAATCTTGTGATGCTTAATATTTATGATAATCGAATGTTCAAATTTTTAATCTGGTAACATTGTGAATATCTTTAGTGTCACTTTTAATCGATTTAATGCATCCCTGCAGAAAAAAAAAATCTCACTGACCCCACATTTTTGAATATTAGCATATATAGAATGAAAAAATGACAATCAAAATAAATAAAAATTACTGGCAAACTTTCAG